TAATGATAATCAAAGATCACAGAATGAATCGATTTATCCATTGAATTTAATAACAAACTGTCTATACGTTAGCACACATTATGAGCACTTGGAGGTCAAGTTCACTCTCATTGTCCTAAAACTGAGTCCCAAAACAGCCGTCAAATCGAATCCAAAATTGGGTTTTAGTGTAAAACTTAATGAATAACGCGAACCAAAAAGTTAGGCTTAATTTCAAACATTCATTTGAATTTAATTAGACATCTGTTGGACTCAAATCACTTCTGACGCGAAGGCTTTTTCTTCTTCTTCTTATAAAAGCAACAGCATCTGCACCACACATACATCCAGATTATCAATCAGTATTACCATCAATGTATCAGTACATCAAACACTCACTTTGTTTCTGATACCACTTCCACTTCAACGGGTCCTGTGATCGGTGTATTCGAGTGACCAGTGGTCGGGTCATCAGCGGTGAGGTCGCCGTTTGTAGAGCTCACCACTTGTACTGATCCGTGTCTGTCAGCGGCAGTGAGACTGCCTCCCAATAGCTTAGCCGCACCGCTGGCGCCCATAATGCCCCTGTCCTCCTGTCTATCCATCCACGCGTTCTTATTTCGATCCGTTAACTGATAACACAATTCAATTAGTTATACAATTAGAGCGAAATCGTGACTCCGATTACCTTAATATTAGAGGTCGGGTGTCGGTCGCGTGGAATGGGAGGCGGATCTGTCATCTGATGCGGTTGTGACTGAAGTGAATACAATTGGAGTCAATATACTGTACATGAGATGAGTAATTGGTGTAATACCTGCTGCCTTCCAGTCCAGTCGTATTCGCCGTCGTGTTGATGGCCTTCCCTTTCGAACAAATCTATGAATAACTTCTTGAGGTATTCATAGTCTGGAGTCTCAAAGAAGTCAAGTCTCCGAACGTATCGCAAATAAGTAGCGAACTCTTCGGGATAGCCCTCACACAACACATCGATAGGTGTGGCCCTCTTTGTGTCGCCGATCTTGGAATAGCGCTCTTTGAGTGTATCGGCTTTCAAGCCCTGCCAGGGAAGGCTTCCCCGCAGGAAATACATGAACATATGGCCCACGGCTTCCAAATCGTCTCTTCGACTTTGCTCTACATATGAGACAATTTGCTTAGAAATGCATCACTTATTGTATTTGAATGTCTGGACAAACCTTTGCCTAAATGTGTGTTAATACTCATATATCTGGCGGTTCCGGTGAGACTCTTGTGCTCTCTGTACGGAATATGTTTACCAGTCTCGGGGTCGATGTACTCCTTGGCTAACCCGAAGTCAATCATATGTAAGACATTAGACTTTCTAGAGTTAGGTCTACCCAACAGAAAGTTTTCAGGTTTTATATCGCGATATATGAGATGTTTCGAGTGCACGAACTCTATCCGAGTTAGCTATACATCAGACATAATGTTAGTTATCTGTTCACCAAATGTCATACACTTCTCATACCAATTGTAATGCAGTTTGTATTACAGTTTTAGTCGAAAATTTTCGATCGCAGAGATCAAACATGTCTTCAAGACTGGGACCCAATAGTTCCATAACTAATGCATTGTATTTACCACACGGACCGAAGTAATAGATTTTGGGGATTCCGTCTAATAGTGACCCAAACATACATTAGTTATGATAGACAGCAAGTGCTGAGGTGGTGGTCAGTGAGACATACCTACGTTACCCAACAGTTTGTAAAACCTATACTCGAGATGCAGTTGAGGGGCTTTGGTCTTCATCGGCTCCAGTTTGATGGCCACGTGTTCGTTGTTGTATAAGTTTTTGCCTATCATTACCACACATTAGCCATCAATTATCATCAATTATATCGCTATATACTCTGCACTCTAGAGATTAGTCTATGCGCTAACACTATCTGACAGGCATTCCCATTAAGTTAAGCCCAACACCTAATTGTGTGACTAATGTGTTGAACGTATCAAACAATCGGTAATTATAATAATGTGTAAAACGGATTCATTTATGAGTTTCATATTTATGATGACTTCATATCTATTTATGACACATATATACCACTCCTGATAACAGCCCTCATATAGCCTTTCATTGCCACCCAAACCAATACATCCAAACCCAATGAGTCCAACCCATCAGTGGTTCACTATTGCACACAATTAGGCCATTGCTCGACACCACGACTATGCCGTCACCACCCCACCAATGACCATGGTCACGGCACACTCATGAGGTGTATGGGTGCAGACATAGCAGAGTAGATGGTGAGGACTATACACATAAAATGGAGACAAACCTAGTCTGAGTTCGCCGAAGTTGCCTGATCCAATCTTTTTGCCCACTTTGAAGTTGGGCCCAACCATGAGGACACCGGACCCGTTAGTGCCGGCCGAGCCTCTGGCCT